CTCTTCCCCCTGCTGTTAAATTTGTGGTCCTGAGAATATCTAGCAATAAAGCAACTCCTAAAGAACAGTGGGATGGAATTACTGTTTTGAGACAAACAGTGATACTACTGAACCGTAGGGCTGTGAGAAATTTCACCAGGTGTTCCGTTTTGAAGCTGTTTCTGTGTGTTTTGAGCTTGAAACAGTGAAATTGAAATGAAACAAAAGACTTCGAAACAGCTTTGAAATGAAACAAGGGCATCCAAAATGTTTCAAAAGTTTTGAAACGTTTCAAGTTTCGAAGCCAGGCTTACTTGGCTTGAGCGCCGCTCCCAGACAGCAGCAACAGCCTTCTGTGATCTGGTACAGATCCAGGGGCTGCCCCTGCATCCCTGGGATGGCTGCGGGGCTCTGCTGGACTCCTCTGGGGGGTGTGGCCCCACAATCTGCCTGCTGGATGACAGGAAGCTGGTCCTGCCTCCTCGAATGGGGGGCCTGCACTCCTGGGAGGAGACCCACAGAGCACCACAGCCCTCCTGGGGGTGCGGGCAGGCCCCCGATCTGCCTGCCAGATGACAGGAGTCTGGTTCTGCTGCCTGGGGCCAGCAGCTGCACCAATCTTCCCAGCGAGGGGTGTGGGCTGTGCCTAGCATCAGTCCCAGGTCACAGCCTCCTGTGATCTGGCAGGCAGATCGGGGGGCTCACAAGCCCAGGAGGGCTGCGAGGCTGCTCTCACCAGGAAGATTGGTGCTGCCACTGGCTCCAGGCTGCAGAACCAGCCACCAACACCCAACCGGCCCACCCAAACCCCCACGAAGGTTGTGGGGGCTCTGCCGGACTCCTCCCACAGGTGTGGGCCTCTGATCTGCCTGCTGGATCACAGAAGGCTGCTGCCTGGGACTGGCGCTGGGCACAACCCGCACCCAGCACTGGGAAGATTGGTGATGCTGCTGGCCCTGGGTGACAGAATCAACCTCCTGTGATCCAGCAGGCAGATTGGGGGCCCACCCACACTCCAAGGAGGGCTGCAAGGCTCTGCTGGACTCCTCCCAGGGTTGCAGGCCCTCAATCTGCCTGCCAGATCACAGGAAGCTGCTCCTGCTCCACGGCTCCTTCTTGTCAACACCTTGAGGTGCAGTTTCCCAGAAACTGCTAAACCAATCTCCTTGAAACTTGGCAGGCTTCATGCCCTCTGAAGGGGCTACCAGCTTTACAAATTTCATCCAAATCAGGCAAGAAATGACAAAGGTATAGGCAGTTTCATCCTTCCCCATTATAGCCTATGGGCAAAACATTGAAATAGCAGCAAAACAGCTTCCACAAAACAAAATGGAACAGTGCTTTCGAAATGAAATGGAACTTGAAACAAAGCACTGTTCCATCGAAACGTCGAAACGGAAGTCGAAGCAGAACGGTGCTGTTTTGCACAGCCCTACTGAACAGCATTTGTTATCCATTGTACTTTCCTTGAAACAGCTGTTGTCCTCTTGCAGCTGTGGACTTTGATATCCTGTTTTCCATACCTTCCTGGAAAACCTATGGGAATCAGTGGGAGTTCCCCACATGTAGGGA